AGGGATGGATACAGTTCTAAGTGATTGGCCTTCGCGGGTACATTCGAACCCCTGACCACTGGTCAGACGAGGGTTTCAGACTGATGTCCTAGGCAGGCCTCCAAGCCACCCAGTGGACCCAGGACAAAATGAACATCGACTTGTTAAATCATAGGCCTGGGAGTGTTTATGCTTTGATTTTCCTGTGCGTTACTTATCAGATTATTCCAATTACACTGTCAAGTTTTGATTCGTTCAACTCTGCATTTAATTAGGACCAACGATCTACAACCAATAAATCTCCAAAACAGAATCCTGGCTATATGGAGAATTACTTTTGTGTGAATCATTTAATTTCTCTCAACAGGGTGCTGGACACACAATTCAGCCTTGCAGCCAGTTTTAAGCTTTAATCTTTGAAGCGTTAATCACCTCAGCCAGAGCGTTTTCGATCCCTCCCAGATAACACCAGTAGTCGAATAATCGTGTCCTGCGTCTCAAGCCTCCATATCGAAGGCAGGCGGCCCTCTGGCTTAAGGGATTTTTGTACGCTTGGGAATCCAAGGGACTAATGTTGCTCCAGCAGGGTCATCGTACACTTGGACAGTTTAAGTGTTTTGTTCCAAAACAGACTGTTATTTTCACTGTGAGTTACTACTGAAACTTTACTATGACCCTGAGTGTTTTCTGTGTGTGTGTGTTGGGGGGGGGGTGCACAGGCTTTTGAGTTTAGTGGGGTTAGCAGGGGAGCTATCTGTGAAAAGAAAATAACATTTTTTTTCCCCATGTAGCGTGTGAAACCCTTGAAACAGAGGAGTATCCAGGAGAGTATCAGAGCTTTCTTTACCTGGTGAATTAGGGTCCTGGTTAGATCTCTTCCCAGTGTGCAGGATCTGAAGAAGCCATTTTGAGTTGCCAGTTTATTAGCAGATTTTGTTTTAAACAAACAGAACATGGTAGGAAAAGATGTGTACCAGGATGGAACGTGAGTGTGTGTTGTGGCGAGAGAGGTTTTTGTTCTGTATCAAAGGAATAATTTTCTCTTCAAGTTTAGTTCATAAAAAAAAATTAAAAAGTCGCTAACCCAAGCGTCACATGAGTAACATTTTTGATGTTTTGACAGGATAAGGAATTGTTATTTTGTTTGTCAATCTTCTTTTTTGGTGCGGTTCTGGCAACTGGGTATGCAGTATATAACATAATATGATATCTGATAGGGTTGATGTATAACAAGGCTCTTCAGTGTCAAAGTCGGTAAAGCAAAATAAATTGGGAAGTGGCGTTCATGGATAGCATCTAGAGGTAATATTGAACGACCTTAAGATCAGGACTCGTTTCCGAGAAGCCAGCCGAGAGTCTGTCCCTCGACTAGGATTCCATGGACGTTGCGGTAAGAGGCTGTTATTCCTGGTCATTCATGAGAAACGGCACAAGATGCAGCAAACCAGTACTGTGGAATAAATAAGGGTTGTTTTCTCTGGGCACAGGGTTGCGACTAGCTGAGAGAAAAAGAGCTAGCAAGATGATAGAACTGGAAACTTGAATCTTAGTAAAAATAATATGATGTGTTGATGCATACTCCCCCCAGTAAGGCTCATATTTTTTTAGAGTTGTCAAAAAATGTCAGCATGTTTAGGACAGATCTTTACCCAGACATGGCATGTTTGTTCCCAGTCTTTATAATTATATTCCAAAAAGCGTTTCTTTCCAAATCATGTTCAATGGTTCATTTCAAATTTTCAAAATAAGAATTGGAAAAACAAAGTCTGTCAATTCTGCCTCTATCTCTTCTATCAATTATATCAATTTCTCTTAACAAGATACCAAGATACCATATAAAAATTGGCATAGTCTGCTGCCACGGATAAACACATGACAGTGCATTTGATTTGGAGCAATTAAGGCTTCCTCTCATGTGGAATGCTGTCAATTAAGGAATGTTTGGTTATATAAGATCTTTGTCTAACCAGTGTGTGTCCCGATGCAGGCCTGAGTACCTCAGAAAAATGACAAGTTTTAATAAAGAGTTCTTAGTGTTTTTATTGATTTTCATTGCGTCTTCGTGCCAGCCTTCGTGCCTTGTGTAACAGTGGCCTCTGATCAAGTGCTGCTCTTCTCCTGGCAAGTTTTCCTCGCTGCGAGCGAAGTTCTGCTTGTACGTGGCGGGGGCTCAGCAGTGAGGCTCGTTTCGAAGAATGACCCGGCCAGTGTGGGTTTGCTCTGGAACGGGCCCTCTCGGCCCGGCTCAGCTGGCAGCCTTTTCTCTGAGTCTGCAGCAGGAGGGTCCAGACAACGGGAAAGGTGACGCAGAGGCCTTCCAAGCCCCTAACACTGCAGGCGACGGGGCAAAGGAAAAGTGGGGAATGTGGTGAAGGCAATGGGCTTGTTCCCAGGCCCCAGACACGGACGTCGCTCTGAGCCAGTCGTCTCGTGTGCCATCTGTTGAGCCCCGGCCCAGCAGGTCCCCCAAGGGCTCCCCATTGCACACAGAGTGGGCTTCGCAGCCCAGGGTGACTCATGGCTGTTTCATGACGTTTCAGACACACCTTAAACGTATCATGTAAACGGAAACAGGACTTCTGATTTCATTTCAGCCTGAAGTACGGAATGTGGGATGCCTAGAGGGATGTTTTTTTTTTCAAGCCTGTCTGTGACGTAAAACACAATTTGTTGGTTAAGAATAAAGACTATTTCATGAACAGGGAAGCAAATGATGTTCAGCATGGGCGTTTCCTGAAAGTTGACTATTGCTTAACTCTGTCAAAGAAAATCCTAAAATCTGAAATAATTTGAGTAAATAATGTCAGGGGGAGTAGTTCAGTGTTTTAGAGCAGCGAGTTACAACTATTTGATCCTCCCCCCCCACACACACAGTCATCTTTTGAGAAATCGTTTCCCAGGCTGGTAGGTTCTGAAAAAAAAATGCTTCTGAAAATGTTTCCCCTAGTTTCTGAAAACTTGGCAAACAACCGTCAACACAAGAGCAACAACAAAATAGCGCCAGGCACACAAGTGGAAATTAAACTCCTGAAGGCCCAGAATTCCACGACAGGGAAAATAATTCAGTTCTGGGGAGTCGGGGGGGGGCTGAGCTGCCCTCCCCAGGAGAAGTTTTATTCTTACTCGGCCCTCTCCTGGGACAAAGGAGAAGGAGAGCTGCAGCAGCGGCAGTGGCAGTGGCGCGGACAGGCCCCTCCCAGATCCCAAAGCCAGGGCCGCGCGGCGCGGAGACGAGGGATGAATAGGACAAGCCAGTGACCTCAGGCAGAAGGAATGTCCCTGTTTGTACAGGCCTCCCGGTCCTTTAGGAGCAAGCTGCCGCTGGAACGGGGGGGATTGTGTGCAGCTTGCAGTTTGTCTTCCAGCCCCCGAGTTTGTCCATTTGACGTTTTGGGGGGTCTGTAAGCGCACGTTACAGACCTCGGCGTTTCCTTCGTCACTCTCCGTTTTTCTTTTCAGCTGTTTCTGAAACAGAAATCCCTTTGTTTCTCTTGCGCAAGATAGAGAGGTAACAGAGCAACGGTATTGCTTATAGAAAAACTGGCTCTAAAATGGTTTTTCTTCAGCACCTAATGTCTTGCATGATCTTTTGCACAAAAGCAAATCTTTCTTTAACTTATGTATTTCTACATATTCTAATCTGTTTGCAAAGTGTACGGTAACTCAAGATGACATTTAGGCCTTTAAGAATCCACTGTGATCCTTGAACAACTAATATGTGTTAGTAGTGAATCTACTTATTGCTTACTGTATAATGAGTAAGTGTCTAAACATGTTTAGACACCACAAAAATGCATTCGTCATCTCTGTATGCATATGGTGTTGTATTGGAAGAAACAGAATTCAGATTCAGAATGTCAGTGGTAATGATAGTGATCTCACCGTTTCCTTCAGCAGTCTAGCTGTGTTATATGTTCAGTAGCCATGGCGATGCTCAGAATTTATTGACTCCACCTTAGTGCAGTGCAGACACCACTTCCCTTTATCTGCATAGTTGTAGAAATTGGCAGTGCAAACACAGCATCTGAAAGTAGCATTCCTTTCTGCCAATAAAAAGGAACAGTCATGATCTCAATAAGGATGCCCCAGGTATTGTTATCTAACCCAGCCCAATTTATCTGCTGTGCATTAAGTCCTGCGCTGTGACAGGATGAACTGTTAGCATTTTTTGGATGCTGGTCACCCTAGGCTGTATTGGACATTTGAGACATTTGACTTGGGATCTCGTGCGGATCGATGGAGATTGTAATTAAAAGTGTCTCGGCATCTCTGGTGCCAGCTCCGTCTTGCATTGGCTTAGTGGGTCACTCAAAGCAGATTGTGCTGCTGGCAGCAGGTGTCGAACACTCTTACTTACAGGCCCGCACACTGGCGCTTGGCATGTGGGGAGCAATCCACCCATGGAGACGAGGGCGTTTCGGACTGGAAGAGGGATTCTGATTCAAGCTAGACCACGAGATACTCCTTGTTGACTGTAAAGAGGAGTAAGCAGGCTATATCAGCGGGGAACCTGCGAGACCAAGAAATAGCCTGAAAAGTAAAACGTCTCCAAGCTGCTTGAGTGGTATAGCAGTGGCATGATCGCTGCAGCCGATGCCCTGCTCCCACACCCCTCACATTTGCTTACGAATTTGCACACAGCTAACGCTGAGATCATCGTTGAGATTACTTGACTCGACTTGCTTCTCAACCCGTTTGAGACTGTTTAGTCAGCTTTACTGGAAGTGCAGAAGACTCTGAATGGAGTTCAAAGTCCTTTCATATAGACGCCAGCCTGAGGTGGCAGACTGTCAGCTGTTTAGTTCTCCTACCAAGCCCTTTCATGTTAGGGCAAAACCTAGTCACTGTAATATACATAATGGGTGAAAACACAGGAGATCCACTGGCCCCATGCCTCTGTTTATTTTTGACTCTTAAGGTGTAATGATTTAGGTGCTGTTTTACTGTCAAAACTACAGAGATATGACGATGCGAGGGCGACTCATTTTCCTGTCCTTCATCTTCTCAACTTCTGTTCCCAGGGAGGAGATTGAGGGGGAAGGCCTTCTACAACGTCAATGGCAAAGTCTACTGCGAGGAAGATTTCTTGGTAAGTTGTGTCCTTTTCAGTGGCTAGGCCTCAGTCGGTTCTTCACTGGCTGCCTGTCAGTGTAAATAATACTGGTGGAAGTGTGCAGCGTTGCACAAGAAAACAGTGACAGAGAGATCATTTGAGCACCCCTCTTACCAGCTGTGTTTCAGCAAAGCATTCTTGCCCTTCATAGTGAGCCCAACATTGTTCTTGTACGAGTTTGCTTTAATGATAAAAATCAAAACAGGGGAAATGAATGCTATTAAATCGCATTATTAATCTAACTAATGTTTCCCTCCCAGAGGGAAGTAATTATCCCATTATTCATCAGAACTGGAAACAATGAGATGTGGTGGGAAACCACAGCAAGAGGGTTTTGTAGCGATACTGTACATCCTTCCAGTGCTGTGGAAGCTGGTTTTCAAGTGACATGTACACACACGCAGGATTGCAAATGAGATCTAGAGCTCTGTAAAAGTGTGTACTGGTCTGTGCCACGCAATTAGAACCACAACCAGCATGTCCTACAGCAGTCATATTTTAGCCCCCCAGAATGTTTCAATCAGTTATCTAGTAAAACATTAATAGCAAGAGCTTTTAAAACAGAATCTCTGAATAAACCTTTTGTGAGTGAATTTTGGCTTCATTTTGGAATTGTAGTTAATACAACATGTGTGTGTCATCACAACCATTAATAATTCTGGATCTTGTAAAATGAAGCTGATAGTTCAAAGTTCAGTTTGCAAGATTTCATTATCTTGACCAGACGGATCAACTTGATTTGGTTTGAAATTTTTAATTATTTTTAATATTACATGTACAGCTGTGGATTGCCCCAGGATGTAGACCTGATATACAGTGAGGTTGGGCAATATTAGTGTTGTGAAATACTTTTTTAATAGTTGTAGATTCTGGAAGCTTTTGCCATGTATGTATGAATAAGTTGTGCACTCAAGTTACCTCCAGATTACATCAGACTTGCCTTGTTCTCTAATGTCAGTGTTTTTTATATCTTACCTCACCAGTTGATACAAATGTCCTTTTTGATTTAAATTTGAGTTCTAATGAAGGACTTGTGATGAAAAGGAGTTTATCGTCTGGGCGACTGATCTTATGTATCAAATAATATCGATGTGGTGTGCTTTCGGAGGCCATGGAGACAGCTTACTTTAGCTTATTAGACCCCGTGTCTGCTGGATATACAATCTACAGGGAATGGATGAAAAAGCATTGTTTCCCCTGCTAATTAGTGAGTATACAGCCCAACCCCATTATCACATGCAAGCCAGATGGCGTGCCTGTGGGGCTCTGTGTAACAGGATTGCTGAATTAGCCTTCGTAGGAGCTGCTGCTTTTAATCAGGCGGTGCTGTCCACTTAAACAGGATGTCCACCTGCTCCCCCGGCCCCGACAGGTTGTGACCTTAGTAGTAAGCTGTCCAGATGGCCGGCCTCACTGCTAAGCCCAGCAATTGGCCAGCTTGCTCTGCCCATAACCGCAGGAAGCAATGTCTGTGCTTGACAGGGGTTGGAGCTGGGAGGTGGCGGTGATGGTGGGGGGAGGGGTGCTTTTGGCCCTTTGTCTGCTCCCTGTCAGGGTAGGTTTGCACAGGTGGCAGGGCCTCTTCCCATGCAGTGGCTTATCCCTGGGAGACAGGCAAGGGGAGCTCAGCTGTGAGGAGATGAAAGGGGTTTCTCGTTGTGCGTCGGGCTGAGGTCGTGGTTCTGGGTGCCTCCACTTTGAAGAAGAGGAGTCAGATCGTGTGCGTTTTCTGCCAGATGTAGACAGAAGGAAATGTCAGGCAATATCTTCGACTTTTGCAGAGTCTCACATTATACACTGGACAGTAGCACCCCCTGTAGGTGCTGTGTTATATAGGAGATTCTAATGCAGTCAAGACTGACTACAGATTGACTGTTGCCTCAGAAAAGTTTAGTATGCCCGTGCAGTATCGCCATTCTCATCCATGACAAATTAAGGGACAAATGAAAAATAGGTCAAAACACCCTATTCCTTATTCTAATAGGGATGTACAATACTGCCAGGTGGTCATGTATGCACTTGCTTTGTGATATCTTCCAAGTTTATTTCAGTCAGAACCTGAGTATCGGTGTAATACTCTTTAAAGACCCACACAGGAAATCTCATTAAGGACTGGATTCAGGAAGTAAAGCACTTGGCATCTTTTTCTACAAAAAAGTGAGTTTTAAAGAATAAAATAAAGGAGTCTTATTAGTCAATACTGTGTTCACACACCAGTTTGACAATGAATGGGTTTGCTGTGCTTTTAGACCGTGATCTTCTCTGCTACTGTGTTCAACCTGTGTTATATACAGGCACAGCGCAGCTCCTCGGTTCTCTCCACAGTCCAGGCTTTTGGTGGCCATCGTTGAAATGCCTACAGATACTTGAACTCAATGTAATGAGTAATAGTAATGTACATTTATGCATTATCTTCATTAAACAAAAAACTGCGGCCAATTACACGCTGATCCTAATTTTCTTCTTCTTTTTTCCTTCGTCTCCCGCAGTATTCTGGTTTTCAGCAAACAGCAGACAAGTGCTTCGTGTGTGGCCACCTCATCATGGAAATGGTAAGAGCCATAAAACAAGACTGTGTTTAATAGCCCACAGCTCACAGTTTAGTGCACCCCTTGGCTTTTTGACCTGTCAGATGGGGCTCTCCAGTATTGGAAAGATCCCAAGTATAACACGGTATTGGAAAGGAAGTCATCTGCAGCATGTAATTAGTTTTTCCTATTGCTTTGTGTTCAGTTTGATCTGTGTGAAGCATAGATGAAAATATGCAGGTCATTAAATCAGTGGTGTTCAGTAGTAGTAGATCAGTGGTTCAGTCAGTCAAGTGATGTTTTAACTGCTTTCCTCCGCAAGTAATTTGGTACACTGCCCTTTGCACTCGGGCCTCCTGTGCCGAACAGCACCCTGTCTTCAGGGATGGGCAGTGAGCAAGAAGAATGGAGTCTGCCCTGCTGGGATCTAACTCCGGCTTCTCTCCGCAGATCCTGCAGGCGCTGGGCAAGGCCTATCATCCTGGCTGCTTCCGCTGCGTGGTCTGTAACGAGTGTCTCGATGGAGTCCCCTTCACCGTCGATGTGGACAACAATATCTACTGTGTCAAAGACTACCACACGTGAGGCTTGAGGGCAGCTCCCTGCAGCAGCTTAGCGATCTGAAAAATCCTGCAGAGTTTCGTGACCTTCAAAAGAAACCCAGAGATTGATTCACAGAACATTTTGTTCTTAGAAATAAATGCTTCTGTTTTTTCTTTTGACCCTGTGTACAAAAGCCGAGAAAAGCATCAGTACTTGCCACAAACCAAATAATTACGTTTTGTGCAAGGTTTTAAGGATCTCTTGTTAAATATACACCACAGTACATAGCTTGGCTCAGCCTTATCTCTCTGTGCTGCTATTTCCATATTCCCTTGCTGTTCATTATGTTCTCAGGACTTAGGACTTGTGGCTGCTCCTAGTGTCTGGCTGAAACCAGTAAGCAACAGGTCTTTAGCTAACAAGTGCTTGACTTGAGAATCTTCCTCTTGAATTGCATCTGAGAACCTGAAAGTGTATAGCAATTTTTAAATCCCTAGGCCCCTTCTTTTTAGTTTCAGGGTGCTATATTTATTATTTTATTGCGCTGCCTTTTCATTTTGTCAGTGTCGGAAAAGCAAGTGTTTTTTTTTGGCTTTAAGAAGCTGCAATAGGATTGTGTGCTCTGGAGAAAGGTTACCAGAACAGCTGCGTGTTAATGGAATGCACAGACACAGAGGTGCTGTTCACCACTCTTGACACTAGACATGAACCAGCCTGCAGTGGGAATGGAATGATGAATTAACATTCTCTCAAAACTCTCATCCCACACTTGCTTGTATATCTAATCATGATGTCCATTTTCTTTCTCTCTTCAGGGTTTTTGCTCCGAAATGTGCATCCTGCAACCAGCCTATTCTTCCTGCACAGGTACTGTGCCCTTGCCCGTATCATGCTGTGTTGTTACAGGCACGACTACTGCTCAGTGCCTGATGAATCCCAATAGTCGGGTCTGTTTGCCCTCTTGCCTTATTTCACACATAGCACTTGCTTAAACGACAGTGACATCCTAATAGCATGCCACTCAGGTCCTAAACAACACAAATGCTTTCCAGAAGTAACTTTTATTCTAAAGGCATTACCCTGATGAGAATAAATCTCTATTCTCCCCTTTAATTGTAGAAACAGTAGTCTCTGAAACTGATGTGGTATAGCAGAATCAATGAATACATATCATATCCAGGATGAACCACGCATCCATGAACTCGTAACAGCTGTCCCGCAGGAAATGGAGTCACTGATATTTCAGGGCTAAAGCTCTACCTTATTGGCTGGAGCCCATGGTTGGCAATAATGGTTGGTGTTGGTATTGCCTTGCAGGGCTCTGAGGAGACGATTCGGGTGGTGTCGATGGACAGGGATTACCACGTAGAGTGCTATCACTGTGAGGTAAGCCGCTGACTTCCGCGCTGCCTGCAGGGAGTGTCCTTCTCCGAGCCTTGCGAGACGCCCGTCGCATCTCGAGCGAGCTGTGTTGTCTGTTTACACTCTCCTGTTGTCAAGGAGAAAGCAGCCCGCGGCGCCGGTGGGTGGCACACACGGACGCCCGGCGTGTAACAGCACAATTCCCTGGAGCGTGAGGAGAGACAGACTTTTACCGGATGGCTTCGGTTTTTGTTTTTGAGGCGTTTGAAGCTAGAGAGTTTTGTTAATCATTAAATGAATGCCTGCTAGTCAGCTTTGCGTGAGTGGGGATTTCATTGTTGGAAGTAGGGGCCACCTTCCACCTGCCTGGACCAGGAGCTGTGCTCGCTATCGGTGCAGAAATCAGCTGGCCTCCTTCTTTCTGTCTCCTTCCTTCTGTTCTGATCCAAAAAAGCTATGATTAAGAGTTCAGCATGTTTTTAAACTGTGCTAATGGCAATCTGAGTTCTAAAACTGCTGTCTCTTATGCTTCTGCAGCCCTTTTTCGAATAAGACCTGCTGTTTTTAAAATAGTCACCTTCGCCTAGAAACAATCTGATCATTCATAAGTATTTTTTTTTGTCCATGAAGACTTTTCGAGGTGAAAACCTGGTAAAAAGTAGTCCTCTCTAGCCAGGTCACATGATTGCATGACATCTGCCCGGCCTCTTCACAGGAATTTTGTGAAGTCAATTTTAATTTACTGCCAAGATGTCCAACATGAACACTAATTCATCCATCCTAACGTGTGGCCGCACAGGGTGAAGTGTAGAAATTCTAAGGTGGTTTGCTTGCAGCCATTAGCTCTGAAACTGTATCCAGATGACATTTAAATGAACTGTAAGTTTGAGTGAAGAGTGAGCAGAATAACATTAACTTGTCAGGTTGCATTGCGTGTTGATCAGTGAACAGGATAAATGAACTACATACACGCCAAACTTTGGCAGCCCAGCCTGACGTCTCTGTTGTGATGCCAGGAGGCTTTGCGTTACAGGCACTGTTTGGAGTTCCCCCCTCTTCTGCCACACCCGGAGAAGTGAGAGGTGCTTAATTCATGAAATTAGGTAGAAAAAAACAGGAACGCAATCCAACCACAAGCCCCAAAGGTGCTGCAGAATTTGATTTGATGCTTCAGAAACCTCTTGAATAGATGAGTGCATGCGAATAAACTGTGTTTCCAGCCGAAGGCTCAAGCCCGTGTAGGAGTTTTGTGTTTGCAAGGCAGGAAAATCCCATTCTGAGTGTTTCTGTAGCCTAGAGGCTCATTGGAATTTGTTTTACGTGGATATAGTAATGCTAATGTCCCAGTTTGGATGAGATAAGCCTATCCAAAATGTGGCTGTTTTGATTATGCTCATATGAGGTCATTAGCAGCTGTGTCAGCTCTCATGTCCAAGTGGACATTTTTAGTACGTGAAACTCAGATGGTCCTGTTTTCAATATGTTTTTCAGCCACCTCTGAATTACCAATATCACTTGGAACAGTATTAGGACCATTGCTTTTCCTAATTTATACCCGCATTCTGGTGTAGTTAGTAAACTAATCAGGTTTGCAGAGGATAGCAAGATAGGAGGATTATCAGGCACTGAGGACTTGCAAGAAGATTTAGACTAAATTATAGATTGGGTGAACATCTGGCAGATGACATTCAAAATACACAGCTACAGTGTGGTACATGCAGGTAGGAAAATATCAACTGTAAATATGAGATAGGAAACAGCTTGAAGAAGCTGCAGAGGAATAAGACAGGCATTGATGTTCAAACGTCATTTACATCTTCTGTAAAACCTGGAGAAGCAAACAAATAGCAAACTGTGCTAAGATATAGATTTGAAATGTAGAATTGAAATCGGGGAATTTAAAATTAAAATTATTCAATGCGCTAGTTAGATCTAATTTAGAATTTTGTGTACAATCGTGGTACCCAGGCTTGAAGATACGTCCTGCACTGATGGACTAAAAGACTTGAGTGTTTTTCATCTTTAAACAGACAAGAGTATATGGGGGATACTGATCCAAGTTTTCAGAAACCACAAAAGTATTGACTGGGTCAAACCAGAGGTGACAATATTGAAACTGAGAAGAGGACGAACACTAAGGGTTCAGAGCCTCTGGAGCATGTTGCTAAATCTGACGCTTTGACCTCTTCCAGGCACTATGAGCTCCTGAGATCCATTCACGACACTGGCTGGGCTGAATGTCCTCCTCTCACTGATCTCTCATATCTCCAGCCCCAGTCTTCACCACCCTTTTCATGGGCACTTTTACAGAAGCAAAAATAGTGAGAGAACCTGACAGTATTTATAGTTACAATTAAAGACCACTAAGAAATTGTACATGAACCCCACTGCAGTAGAGGCTGCCGTCTAGGTGAAAGAATGGCTGCCTTTTTTTAGTTGTTTTTACCTGAGAGAAACACACAGGGAATAGTACAGTATTTGCAAACTCCTGTCTTCTAGCTGGAGACAGGCTTGCATTTCACTAAGAGGACTGTTACACTGAGTGAACAGCTTTTCTTGGACCGCTGCATAAAGCTTGTCATCTGCAGCAGTTTTCTATGCCTGTAATCCTGTCTGTCAGTACTCTCCTAATTAGCAATAAAGTGCTGGCCTCGGCAAGCTAGGCACTACATTTTTGTGCAAAGAATTCATCACAAGGTGTGTAAAACCAAGCATCTTTCACTTCAAAGGAAGCGAAAAGTATATTTGGAAGTTAGCCAACGCCAAAGTGTCAGAAACATTTTTCAACACACTTGAGACGGCAAAAAGCAAGAAAAAAACTTGAAACTGTTCGGCCCCGAATGCAGTACGAAGTAATTAATCCCACAGATATATGAAGCCCGTAGGTTTCCCATCATTCCAGTGGAGGTACTGGTGCTGCTCCAGCTCTGTTCACGCTGTATCGGTCACATGACCCTGCTCACAGGGGGTCAGAGCCCTCATCTGGAACCAGGAAAGAGGACGTCGTGGGTTGGAATGTGGGGGATGTGAGTGGGCTGTCACAAAGCTCTGAGACAGACACCAAGCAAAGACAAGAGTCCTGAGACCAGACTCTCGCTGTCCATGACTGAGGAGCTCCTGCCCGAGGTAGGTGCTGGTGGTCTCTGACGATACCTCCCCTTCCTGTTGCTGTTCTTCAGGACTGCGGGCTCCAGCTGAACGACGAAGAAGGCCATCGCTGCTACCCGCTGGAGGGCCACCTGCTGTGCCACGGCTGCCACATCCGCAGGCTGAAGGTCCAAGCGCCAGCCCACCTGGCGCCCAGCTACCCCCTGCATGTGACCGAGCTGTGAAGCGGGCGGGCAGAGCCGGGCGCCCAGGCCCCCTCCCGGGCCCAGAGAGCCAGAGCCGAGAGGGACGAAAAGGGAAAGCGATGCCGGGCATCACGTGGCGACGAGAAGAGTGCAATGAGCTGCCTTGTCTCTCGGCGGGGGGGCCTCTGTGTCTGCCGGCACGCCGCGGAGGAAGCCTCGTCTCCTGGACTTCTAGAGAGGCACGGGGCGCTCTCACCGCCTTCGCTGCCGGGGAGGGGAGGCGAGGGGGCTGCAGAGATTCTCCCTCGTTTTCCAGATTTTAGTTTTTCTCTGAATAACAGTGACCCACGTGCCACCCGAAAGGATGTGACCGCCTTCGGGCTGCTATCTGCGCTCGTGTGCTCTTCCAGCACGGTTCGGGGGCCTCACTTGAAGCCCACTCATCGCCAGTCTGTAACAGGACGGGGAGTGGAGTGGAGTGGGGGGAGACTTTGTTTTTCCTATTCCTTCATGACTGAAGATTTACGCCATGAAGCATATGCTGCTTTTATGTGTAATCTTACTGTATCTGATGCACAACATGGCTCCGGTTAGCCATGCCCTGACAGCTGCCTTACAACTCTCGCCAAGAGGAACCGCTGTAACTTCAAAGTAGCCATTGTTCAGGAGTCTCGCTCTTGGAGACCTGCTTCTCATTCCTTGTCTCTGTAGTACATTGTAGTCCAGATACTGTCCTACTGGCTATGCAAGGGAACTGTACGTCTGTATGTTACTGTGCAACATTCCACTGTTTGTCGACTTGTGTTTTATAAGAGGGCCACAGCCCTGCATTGTGTTGCCTGTCCCGTTTAATACGGGACAATTGTATTAATTCCAGTTACCTTGACTTCAGCAAAACAGTGGTTTTAGCATATATTATCTAAAAGATTTACATGCAGTGTCTTAATAATGATATTGTAACAAGAGTTAGATGTACATAGACTGTACAATTGTTTTTATATATATTTTGCAGAAACTCTTACAGAATTCAAGTTAGGAATCTAGAACCATAGTTTTTTATGTTGTTGCAGCACAATTACTTATTACAGCAGAGTCAGAGGCCAAATGACGTGTATTGATGAGCTGTAAATGTAACACATAGTCTTAATCTACTGTATGTTAGCGGACAAGAGTTTTGCTTTTTTTTTAATCCTAAGCCATGTTAGGCTTCCTTAAATTCCTGGGCATTTTCTATGGCAATCTGCAGGCCTTGGAGACTATTTGCTCACGTACAGTATAAGTATTTTCAATGCACTGGTTTGTAACAGGAGAGAACCCAAATTTACACAAGACTTGTGTCCTTCAAGGTTCCTCTTCCTTAAATGGCACAAAGATGGCTCTCGACGTCAGCAGTTTTGGAATGTCCCTGTATAAGACACACAGGAGACATGAATTGTAGTGCTCTACCTTGGCTGGGCCCTGAGGATGTTCAGTATTTAATTTAATAGTAATCTAATTTATTAATTCCTCCAAGACGTGTGTCGTAGAGTGGTGGGGCCCAGGCCGATACTCCCTCCTGCTTTCAGTCCCCGTGTCTCCCGTGTCGCTTGTTCTCTTTCATCCTCAATCAGACCATAAATGTGGATTCTGGCAAGCAACTCTTTTTGTGTCCAGTAAAAGGTTGTTTATCTTGCGAGTGCTTCTCGGTACTACTGAATTTTTGCATTGAACTGCTACACCGATTACAGGACCCTTTAGAAGGAAAGAAAGGTAAAGGAAAAAAAGCACTTTTATTTCTGACTTCTCTATAACAGATTTCATTTTCTTACTTGTTTTGTGTAATTGGGGCCCACACTCGTCCACCATGATCGGCAGTTTAAAGCATCATCGCATTTACAAATCCATGTTTTATTTCTGCATTAATTATATAAAACCCCAGTATTTAGGTCTCGTGGCCATGATTTTCAACAACAGACAATTCAGTTTTACTTTTATTCAATTCGCAGCTGCCTATTAAAGTTCAAGCAGTTTTGTTGAAATCATTTAATTAAGCACACTTAAAACACAGCTATGCCACTCTTCTTTTTAAATGGTATACTGAAAGGTAAAACTTAAGATGTTGTGGTTGTTGTAAAAAGGCACAATATCCAATTTTGTCTTATCTGTCAAAAATGTCTGTCTTCAAATGCAGAACAGAAAAACAGAGACATTTTTATGAAGCATTCCACTGCTATTAAAGAAAAATGGACCAATTTTAACTACAGTATAGGAAATATTTTGATTCCCTATTTGTATATCATGTAACTAGTTTACCTGTACAGAAATGTAAGTTAGCTTGTTTTACTGTACTGTCAAAAAATACATTTCAGACAAACAAAATGTAGCTGTTTTCTCTCCTGTAAAGTAGTTCTCAAAAAAAAAAGACGTGTGACAAACTATTTTGCTGTTCGGTGTTATATCCTAGATGGCTCACAGAAAAGAGAGACGGGAATTGTAGATTTATTTATCTAAATATGAAAAATCTAAAGTTATTTAATGTGTTAAAAGTCAGAAGTGTCATTTAACCTTAGATGATATAATCTGCTTTTTTTTCAATAAAGAGGTTTTGTAGTTAAATTATATTTTTCTGATTTGTCTGGTGTCTTCAGCAGACCTCATATTTCTGTGTCAGATGCTTGCAGTCTGTGTGTGGCCACAGGTTCGAGCCAGGGTTATGTCCCTAGTAGTTGCACACAGCTGGCAGAGCACTGTCCAGGAGGGGGGCTGGAATTTGCCACTCATGGTGCACAATACGGGCCCTGGGGTGCTGTCTGTGTGGAGTTTGTATGTTCTCCCTGTGTTTGCGTGGGGTTCCTGCAGGTGCACCAGTTTCCTTCCAGTCCAAAGACATCCTGGCAGGTTAGCTTGGGAAATTTGCCCTAGTATGTCTGCGTCTGTGCCTCGAGATAGACTGGGGTCCCATCCATGGGCCTGTTGCATGCTGGGATAGGCTCCCACTTCCTCGCGACCCTGAACTGGATGAAGCATTTAGTTGTCTTGGCTCTTGGTGAAATTTCTGTGGCTTCTGCAGGCCTGGACTGCAAGAGACTGAGGTATACCTCTCCTCCAGCTAGTACTCCATCTGCTGTGGACCTCACAATCAGGATTGTTCAAAGTCTTCTCTTTCCAGGACTAAATTGTAATATTTCTTTTAGCCTATCA